CAGCCAATCTTTTTTTTCAGTGTTAACTAAATATCTCAAAATTATTTTTTAAATAGTAAGTCCTGTCGTATAGAAAATTACGCTGAATTAAATTTGTCAGTCGTCAAGTCTAGTTTATCTAAAGTATCAATATTTAATACATTCTTTCACCTTTTTTTTCTAAAAAAATATCAGAGTATTTATCATTATTAATATGCATATTCACATATAAACGACTTTGATTACATTAAATATCTTAAACTTATTTTAAACAATAATATCTAAAAAACGGAGCAATCTTCTATCGAGAAAAATTACACTAAATTCTTTTAAATTTGTTAGCCGTGAAGTCCTATTTAATCAATATTTAGCACGTTTCTCACTTTTTTTCCTCTTTTTAAAAAAATATTAGAGTGTATATTATTATAATATACGTATAATATATTCACATAAACGATCATGAATACGTTAATTAAATGTCTCAAACTTATTTTAAACAATGACATATAAAACCGGAGCAATCTTTTATCATGAAAAATTACGTTAAATTTTTATAAAGCAGCGGCGTCCGGTAAATCGATCGCGCTTTTCCATCCGCGCAGGAAATAGGCGGCGACGGACGCTTCGCCATTTCACGTCCGTCAACTTTTCGCTAACGACGCTCCTGCCATTTGGCGATTAATGTCTAATTAAATTTAGGGCCGTCAACGTGTATGTCAAATCTCGCGATCGTCCGTCCGCGCTGACCCGCGGCGTTTCACAACCGACCGAGTGGCGAGCGGCGAGCGGCCGCGTGCGCGTGGTGACGAAGTGAGCCGAGCGCGGCCGAGCGTAGCCGAACACCCACAAGCGGCCTCGCCGGCGTCGCCGGGTATTTAAACGGCCGCCGGCGAGCCGCGCTCATTCCTCAGACAGGAGCGAGACACGGGACGTGACACGTGCTGGGTTAAAGAGTATTCGGTACCGGTTGCCTGTATTCGCGATCGAGAATCGTATTTGACGCGGCGCGAATCCTCGTCGAGTGATTACAGTGACAAGAGACACGAAAGTGCTGCCTGGGCAAAAAAAACATGGCCGACAGTGGTATCAAGCGCAACATTCCCATCAAACTCGGTGACTTCAGCGTGATCGACACCGAATTCTCCAACATACGCGAGCGCTTCGACGCCGAGATGAGGAAGATGGAGGACGAGATGTCGCGGTTCCGCAGCGAGCTGATGAACCGCGAGAGCAACAACTTCTTCAAGAGCACCACCAGGTATGTCAAGTGACTACTCCGATTATTCAATATTCTATCTTTTTCTCTCGCGAGACGTTTAACCTTTCAGGACGCACCGGTTATGTTCTCCCTCTCGCGCGTCTCTCTACGCATAAATTTCGTGTACACGCCTCACTACGTTCCGTAAAGCGCACACACAGAAAAATACTGTACCCCCAAGTAACAATTACTTATTTCAAAAGTTCATATATTCCAATAAAGTTCATATTTATCATAAGTTCATCACAAATTTATTCTTCAAAATATATTCTGAATCCTAAATTTGTTTTCGCTTATTATATAAAGTCGCCTCTTCGATCAATTTTATAATATTCTTCAAAAGAAAATAAATTCTTGTTTTGAATATACATAATAATGAGTTTTTTTTAAATTTGTAATAAGTACATTTTAAGATTATTATGAAGAAAGTATTATTTGATAAAAATATCTTGAAAAGAAAAAAAATAAATGGAGTAATCATTTCTGTGAAATATATCTCATTAATTATAAAAAATGAAATAGATGGTTTATTTGCTAGGAATAAAATTTTATTTTATCGTATTTAAGTAAATATTTATTTCAGTGAAATAAATAAATTTTTCACAAATGAATTTTTAATGTAGAATATGATATTTTCCTGTGTGTATAATGCGCATGATGTATTTATTTTATCTGTACTTTTTAGCCGAACTTCTGGTACAGTTCATTTTTCCTCTTTCTTTCCACGTTGTATTAGACAGAAAAAGAGAAAAAATGAACTGCGCACAAAACACGTACACACAACAAACACAAACAAGAAGTTTAGCTTAAAAAACCTCGTTTAACATTCAGTGAACAAGGATATAAAACGACTGCGTTCAACAGAAAAAGCAGCTTTGTAACTGCTGTATAAGATTCTTTAATAACTGGTTTATATATTTAAATTCAGTGCGGAATTAAAGACAAGACTAACCAAATTAACATTTAACGGTGAAAAATGTTATACCTACGTTTCTAACGTCGTGAATCCATTAAACCCTTATTTTTCAAAAATTTATAAAATGAAATTCATTAATCTAGGAAACATTTTTGTTGTATCATTTTGAGGTTTTGATTACCTCATTTACCTATTTTTAATCTTTAAAACTAATAATAATAGGAACTACTTTTTTTTCTCCACTTTAGAGAGAAAAAAAGAAAAAATATTAAACGCGCAAGAAGTTCAGCTAAAAAAAAACAGTCCTAATGATGCATCATCCGCAATCATGGCTTTATGGAACGCTTTATGCTACAGCTTTAAGCCTGTAATACACGATGCTTGTTTTCCTGCTGGATCGTTTTTGGTAAATTGCTAGAAATTCTACGTTTCGTGTGGTGCAATTCCAGTAATTTACTAAAACGCAAGCGATCTCCCCCAGTAGGAAAACAAGCATCGTGTACTGCAGGCTTTATATATATCGATTTCGAAAAGCTTTCCTTTCCAATCATGAACGATAATTCGAACGCTTGCTTACATCAGTAACCGATACGAACAGTATGTTTACGAACAGTATGTTTACGAACCGGCCTCTGTGTATTGTGACGACGTCTCTCGAAGGAATTACACGTTAACGGAATTACTATGCACGCTGTACATCGTACATTGGTGAGAAAGATCGATATGGAAATAAACGTAGGTCGCGAATAATGCAGTTGACATTGAGGATATCGATCCTTTTGTACGGACAAATGAATAATTTGTCTGATTTGTCGTAGTTGCGACGCGCGAGAGGATTAAAGAGAACTTGCGAGAGAGTGGCCTTCGTATCCTCACGTTAAAGTTTTTCTTTTATTTTCGCTCGATCGTATCAATATGCGGTAGGTTTTATTTCTGATACCTACATCGCTCTTTTAAAAGAGATTTTATTTCATTTAAAAGGGATTTTATTTCATTTGATGATGCGGCACGTCCGGCATTGAAATTATTCGCGATCGAAGGCAATTATTAACAGTCGTTGGAAGTTCACGTATCAATTTGCGACATGTCAAGAAAAAATGCATTTTCTTTTTGCGTGATAACGATTCATCGATCATTGGTGTTTTACGCTACGAGTTCCGTCTCGCGACAGTCGAGCGATTAGAGAGATTAGCAATCTACAGATCGATCGTATGCGTTATCGTGCAGATACAATTTAATATTTTAAGACGATGATTTCCGAATAAGGAATATCGTTATAACGTATAAATATAATAAAATCGATCACGAAAGATTATAAAAAAATTAATTAATCAAAAAAAGAATAAATGAAAGGATAAAAGCTTGACATAGAAAAATAGATAATGTCACTTGTAGCTCGTCGCGTTTAAGAGACTCGACATAAAATCGCTCATTTGCGTGATTAATTTATGTCGTCGCATCGCTGTCTTGTCAAAACCATTCTAATGTTATATCAATTTAAAATCTAATGTTAATTAATGTTATATCAATTTAGAATCGTTCATTTGCGTGATTAATTTACGTCGTCGTTGTTTTGCCAAAATTTTGAATGCACCGTTCCAATCTTATATCCATTTAAAATCGCTCATTTGCGTGATTAATTTACGTCGTCGTTGTTTTGCTGAAACTTAGACTGTACCAATCTTATATAAATTTAAAATCGCTCATTTATATGCGATTTTAATTTATGTCGTTGCATGCCGACTCTCGAAGTGTACCGTTTCAATCTTACGTTAATTTCAGTAACGTTAACGCACATTCTAAAATAAACCCATTAAGTTATGTATAATAACTAATAACCCATTAGTAATAAATTAGAAGTCAGAAGCTAGAAATTAACCAATCACGGTTGAATGCGAAGAATAATTAACTATGATTGGTTAATTTCTAGCTTCTGATTTCTGATTTATTACTAATGGCTTATTGTAGGATGTGTGTTAATGTGATCATACGTCATGTTAAATAAAAAATTTGCAGAACATAAGCTTTCGTAAAAATATTGTATAGCTTTTCTTTGTTATGAAACGTCATTTCAGTGCCGTCGCAAAAAAATGCAAAGATGAGGTCTCTTATTGGGGAGCGTGATTCGGTCGTCACAACGATTCGCAGATTGCATTTTTGCATCGATACAGTCGTTTCGTGCATTTTAGTTTCTATTTATAGAGATTCCGTCACTGCACTCGCGGACCAAGAGCCTCCTTTGGCGACTCAACCGTCCGAACGCGGAGAGCGAAGCGTGATCCGGAGAATGTGTGTGTTAGAAATTTGCGTATAACGCTCGTATAACGCTCATGTGAAACTTCATCATGGAAATCATTTAATTACCATAACAATGATGTTCGGTGTTTGATTAAATAAGTCATTTACAATGAGAAAAAATGTACTGAATTTTTACAAATATTTATTTGAACAGTGATTGTTTCGTCACACAGCGGAAACATTCACGTAAAACTCGGAATATTTTAAATGTGGGAAAACGCGACTGTATACGTGTCGCTCGCGGAATTACAAACGAAGTCTATTACGCAATTACATGACATGCGTCTCGTTGAACGCACAACGGACGCGTTCACTGCATTTTTGATGGCACACTGATGCACGCACACAGTCGCGTCTTCTGAATGCAGCATTGTCGTCATTCGAAACAGCTAGTTGAAAGAAGCGAGATGGGAACACGAAACAAGAATGAACAATGTTAAATTCCGGGATTTTGCCCGATCAAAATAAACCCAGTCAACGTACTCGTGCGTCCCGCGTGCTCGTTTGCTCTATCCGGAAAGAGCGGAATCTAAAATTTACGCTAGATACAGATTTTTAAAACTTTTTGCAGTATTATCAATATTATCATTATACTTGAGCATCCCCAAATAATTATTTTGATAGTTCAATGATTATTATCAGATTTGTATCTATATTAAGAAAAAGAGAAAGTCTGATTGTATTAATTGGAATTCTAATTGAAAAGGATCATACGGAAAGAATGGTTTTGTTTGAACTACAAATTTAGCTAGATACATATATCTGAAAAAAATTTTATTAGATCATCCAAGTAATGCGAGGATGTTCAAATTAATTGCTAGAAAACTTTTTGCAGCATTATCGTCATACTTGAACCTCCTACGTAATTATTTTGATGGTTCAACATAATTATTTTCAGGTCTGTATCTAGCTAAATTTTTAATTACTTCAGTAAAACTTTTTTCTGTGCAAAAAAAATTTTCCGGTTGAATCTATTATAATTCTAGTTGAGACAAAACTAGAATTCTAATTGATACGATTAGAATTTTCATTTTTAACCAGAAAATTTTTCTCAGTGTAACTAAATTTTTAGATATTCCAGCAAAACATTCTTTCCATGTAGACAGATATTTAAAAGATATATTTATTGAAATTACATTATAGTGGATAAGCTTATGCATAATGCAACGGCCGCGTCGCGCTTGGTGCATTGAATTAACGTTGTTTTCCTACATAGTGTTCGAAATAAAGTTGACACTTCATATAAATGTATATTTTCGCGATACATCACGTTATTACGTCAATGCGACCCTGACATTGTATCGCGATGTACCATCGCGAATGGCCCCCACTGGAATCAAGCTCTAAATCGTGGCGTAGGAAAGGTGAGGAGCTTGCAGGGATCCTAGACGAGCGAATTTACGCAGTAATTTTTACGACATCGTCGAGGCAACCGCATCGTCACAGTCCACGTTGTAAAGCGAAGTGTGCTTGGTCGGTATTGACTCGTTCATCATCGGTCAAGGATTCACGATGATCCCGAACGAGGATCTCTATCCACCCACGCATAAAACGGTCATCAAGCTTCGGTATGTTGTTCAGCGCGAATTCTCAAAGTCCGAACGCATTCGTCATCAGTTTACTTGGATCGATTCGTTACTCGGCGAGTTACTCGTGCAAAACATCATTTTGTTACGCAATTAATTAAATTGTTTTTATATACTATTTTTTCGATCCGTATTATCAATTAAACATGTATTTATTTTTTATTTAACCATTTCAGGACGGTTTTTTTTTAATTCGACGA